ATTAGCTGGGTGTGGTGGTGTATGCCTGCAGTCCTAGCTAATCTGGAGGCTGAAGTGAGAGGGTCGCTTGAGCCCAGGAGGTTGAGGCTACAGTGAACTATGATCACGGCACTGCACTCCAGCCTGGACTAGACAGCAAGACCCTGTCTCAAAAAACAAAAACAAAAAAGACTGTACCAGTTGCGGCTATCTAGAATTTATGTCACTTGGCTAGAGGTCATGGTTACAACAGTATGCTAGTAGCTTTTTTTTTTTTTTTTAAAGAGTCACCTAAATACTAATTACTAGTATCTGATTTAGACTTTCACAGTGAGCTTTGTTTAAAATCAGTGTAACATTTTGTTCTGTTAATTCAGGTTTCTTATCCTATATACGAATTTGTTTAAATGACACAGGTATCATATTCATTACAGACATCCAGAGATGAGTTTCCATGTGGCTTTACTTCACCTGCCAATAGAGGGAGTCTGAGCACTGACAAAGACACCGGTAATTAAACCATTTGGAGATGATACATTGCATGGGTGTTTAGAAATGTACCCTCTACTTCTTAGTATTTTTGATATATTTCATAATAAAGACCATACATAGCTTGATCTCTACTAAAGTTTAATTAAAATCTGACTCATATTTGCAGTCAAATTTATTTGCCAAGGTTTCCTTGTCTAAGCTTATTTAGAACATAGCTTGGCATACTGACAAAATAGAGGATAATGAGAAAAATACTGGTTTCTTTATCTGTCACCAATTTTAAGCCAGATACCTCCCTTCTCTGGACTCAAGTTTCCTTGTCTATAAAATTGTCTTTTAAATTGTGTGGCTTTATTTTATGGCTTCCAAGGAATTTCTTGTCGTTTTGTACATGCTAAAGTGTTTTGAAAGGTGAAAAGTTGCTTCACTTTTACATGGTTTCTTATGGTGTTTTCATATAATAAACTTCACATTTTAGATGTCCAAGATCTATTCCCTATATTAATGTCTCTACTTAAATTAGTTCAATACTTATTTTTTTTAAATATTTCTGACAGTTCCTCCTCTTGCCAACAAGGACTTGACTTTTTTTTTTCCAGCTTATGGGTCTTTTCAAAATGGACATGGAATTAAGAGAGAAGATTCAAGAGGTTCCCTCATCCCAGAAGGAGCAACAGGATTTCCAGATCAGGGCAACACTGGTGAAAATGTAAGAACTTAAATATATAGGATGATCCTAGTGACACATTAGGCTGCAACTTTTTTTTTATAGTATAAATGTGAGCATCTCTACTCTCCTGTAGTCCATCCTGGCTCTGCAAAAAGCATCCCATAATTCTTAGATATTTTAGCAGTATCTTCCTATACTGGCAGCTGCTACTTCAGTGTCTTAAACTATTTATGGAGAATGAGGCATTCATCCTCAAGTGTTCCAACTCTGAATATCTCCTTTAACCCTAGTACGCTATTTTAGTGAGGGGAAATTCAAGTTTAAAATATCTAATGTGCCTTGTTATTTAAAACAAAGCACATCCTGGCAGGATTAATGCAGTCTTTCATTCTTTTGTAATAGAGTAATGATATTAATTTTGGAGGAAAAAATATAGGTCCCGAAACTGATCATCTTAGGGTCCCAGCATCACTTAATCAGAATATATCCTCCCAACTCTTCTATCAAGTTGTTTCACGCCTACCATTCAAGTTTGAGATGTGACTGCCTTAAGACAGAGAGACCTCATTTTAGACCAGTAAAGTTTTGCCATGTTATGTAAAATCATTGAATCGTATAAAATTATATTAGAAGGGTCTATAAATAAAAAATTCCAACTCTCAATTTACAAATGAAAACTGGGATTATGACTTAGAACAACCAGCTATGGCAGGACCATACTCAAACCTAGATTTTCTAATATGAGCACTTTTTCTCCTATATCATGGTGCTCTTAGTGTGCATCAGGATCACTTGAAGGGCTTAAAAAAATAGATGTCTGGGCCTCACCCCAGGGTGAGATTCAATACATCTGGAATAGGGTCTGCTAACATGTATTTCTAAGTTCCCAGGTGATGTTGATGCTGTTGGTTGGCTATTGTTACCCTTGAGAGCCAGTGAACTATACTTCCACTGGTTCCTTGAGCCTTTGGGTAAACAGTAATTTATTCACAAATGTTTCTCTTTTACACCATTTAGAAATTGTGACAACAGGTACTGTCATAGCTAAGGCAAATAAAGGTCAGAGAGGTTGAATGACTTGCTAGTAGTCACATAGTAGCTAGGCAAGCAATCAGAACCTAGGTCTGTTTGCTCCAAGTAAAAGTTCTTTCTTAGTAAATTCCACCTTAGTCAATGGTGCATCCCCAGTTTAGCTCAACTGAAAGTATTAGTTTTTAACAACTGCAATTTTGTAAGGAGATTATTGTTGTTCTATTCCTATAAATCCCCAAATAAGTCAGATCTTGTCATGCTTAATTTCTGATTTTTTTTTAAAGTCATTAAATAAGAGGAACACATCAGTACTTTGTAGAGGTGCTAATTTTGAAGTATTACTGGGTACTCCTAAGTGTAA